TCTACCCAAGGGTTGAACTAAATCTCTAACCATAATTTATTTTTTTTAATATATTTTATTGATTTTTTTTTTACAGAGAGGAAGGGAGAGAGACAGAGAGTCAGAAACATCGATGAGAGAGAAACATCGATCAGCTGCCTCCCGCACACTCCCCACTGGGGATGTGCCCGCAACCCAGGTACATGCCCCTGACCGGAATCGAACCTGGGACCCCTCAGTCCGCAGGCCGACGCTCCATCCACCGAGCCAAACCGGTTTCGGCTCTAACCATAATTTAAAAGAAGTTCTGCCTTTGGAAAATCAAGTGAAACTTTAGTTCAATAAATGGAATTGAGATTCCACTCTTGCTGCTGAGAATGATGGTCCAAGAGGAAAGATGAAGACGCTCTGGGTTCCCCCCAAATTCCAAAGCTGGTGAATGGTGCAGGCTCAGCACAGGGCAGCTCCAGAACATACACAATCCCAATTCCCAATAAAGCCCAAAAAGAGTACTGTACTAGCATCAGGTCTCGCACTCCCAGGCGGGATAAGGTTCCTCTAGAGATGACAATACTTCTCCACCTCAGTCCCAGCACATTCCTCTCCCCCACCTCCCACCCCCGCTGATTTTGCCAGTGAAGAGGCTGAGGCTCACCTTTCTTCTGCAGCCATCTCTTCTGAGCTAGGGCCTTGCACCCAGTGCTTTGATCTACCCCCAAGGCTACAGTTCTACTAGGTTCACGCCCCGCCACCACCACCACCACAAAGGGAACCATCCTAGCAAGGAAATCTACAGCTGTATCTGGAGAACAGTCAGGACTACAGGGCTTGTGGGTCCCTCCAGATGAGCGGGTGCTAAGGCGGGTGCCGGGGCCTCTGCTTCTCTGCTACACTGACAGGCATCAGCCCAGAGCAACAGTGGAGGCCGCAGGATGAACATCTGTTGCACACACATTTCACGCGCACACACACGTGCATGTGCACATACACAAGTGCACACACTTACAAAGACATGTACTGACAAATATACGTGTGCACACACTGACAAATATACGTGTGCACACACATACACAGGCACACATACACAAGCGCCGCACGTACACAGGCACACGCATGTATGTACACACACATGGGTGTACATATGCACACACAAGTCAGCGTACGTATAGGTACATACACATGCGCGCACAGGTACTTACACAATGTACACACGACTGTACATAGGTACACCCACACGTACACAGGTACACACGTGCACATAGGTACATACATGCACACGGGTACATAGGTACACATAAGTGCACGCACGTACAGACATACACACGCATGCGCATGCACACACACACACAATCCGGCAGCTACCCGGTCCCACGCTCCACCCGAGGCCTCCTGCCCTCCGCGCTGGACCACGTCGTCCCGCCCCACAAAGTCCCTGCCTGGTGCGCCCCCAGGGGGACAGCGACAACCGAAGGCCATTCCCTTCGGGTGTCGGCAGCGCCCTCGGGAGCACGCGAAGCCCTCGTCCGGCAGACCGTCCCACCTGTCACCGCCGCGGACGGGCGGGCGGAGAGGAGGAAACCGAGCCACCCGGGCCTTTCTGGACCCACTTACCCCAATCCTCCTCCGGCCGCGGAGGGAGCCCCGGGCTGAAGGGCGAGGCCATCGTGCCGGCAACGCCGCCCGCGCCCCCAGGCACACGCTCGGGGTCCTGGGACTCGGTGGCCCACGCGGGGGCGGGGATGGCGGAAGCGGGCGAACCGACGCAGCGCACGCCGAGGCGACGGTGGCCGAACGCGGATAAACTACCTCACTGCGCGAGGTCCCGCAGGATCCGAGAGGGACGTCCCAGACCGCGATGCCGACTGCGCCCCTCCGCGCTGGCCGCGCTTCCTGTCCCGCGGCTGTAAGAGGGAAAAAGACACGCGAACCGGCGTCAGCGAAATCAAGGATCCATGGCGCTGACGGAGAGGCAAAGCCCCTGCGGTAGGAACCAAGCCCCGCGGCGGATCGGCCCCGGAAGGGCCGGCGACCACGTCACATGCCACCGCCCTGCCGTGCACCTGCAGCCAGTGCAAAATCATCTCACTGTCCACTGTAATGGGAAACTTTGTAAAGTAAAAACCAAAAAGGGCCCTGGCCGGTTTGGCCCAGTGGATAGAGAGGGGCCTGCGGACCGAAGGGTCCCGGGTTGGTTTGGGTCGGGGCACCTGCCCGGGAGGCGGGTCGATGCCCAGTGGGGGGCGTGCAGGAGGCAGCCGATCAGTGATTCTCCCTCTCCCCTCCTCTCTAAAATCAATAAAAATATTTCTTTAAAAATCAAAAGGGAAAAGTGATGCCCGTCCTGAACCACTGGCGGGTCCCCCGAACACCGTCATCAGGTCTCAGGGCAGCACCGGAGCTGA